ATTAAAGTCTGAACGGTTTTGTTCTTCTTTGTGTTACGTGTTGTCCTTTCCTATCCTATGACATAAAATCAGATATTTTACCAAATCAAATGAATCACTCTTTACACACTTCAGCTTTGCTAGCAGCTCTATCTAAGGTATAAATCCTTCAATTGCAAAAGCCAATATTCATCAATTCCTGAATTCTAATCCTGCGTAGATGGTTAGTTTGGCAACATAGGAAGCCGTTTACCACAAGTAAAAAAATGTGAGAGTTGGCTCTCAATTTGGTTTTGTCGTCAGATCTTCCTTGAAAACAAAAATGAAGATGAAGAAGAAGAAAGAATCAAGAGTATGTCGGACCGCATAACAATTCCATCTGTTTTCTCCCGGAGTTCAAGATGCATGTATGGATTATCTCACTTCACTTATGAAACCTGAAAAGATGATATATATGGTTTTCGAAATTTCTGTTACCTGCCAATAGCATTTGGAGGGCTGTCACAAGCATAGTGAGTAAATTAGCGAGACAATGGTCAGCTGCTTGGTTTCCTTCTCTGCTTTAGAATTTAGAACGACTAACTAATTAAGTTCAAAAAGCTAAATTAAGTTTAATAAACAATTAAACCAAAGACAGTGTACAAAAAACTGAAACGAAAATTCCATGGCCCAAATGGTGCTATTTTTGATTCTCTATGTTTATGGCTAGCACCTGAAAGGAAGTGAAACATGCGTACAAGAGTATAACCACCGCAGTCCGACATCTGACGCAGTGCATATCTGCTTGGGATGGATTATCAAAATGGTGGCATACCCATCAATGAATCCAACATCCAGTTGAGTCATCGAATTGTTCTAAGACGTGACAATCCATGTTTGAAGTGGAATATCTGCTAGTTACAAATGGTATGCTGCTTCTAATCATTCACATTCCCATTAGCATTTAAACAAAAACGGTGGGGTCTAAAGGGAGGGTGAAAAAGAGCAAGTCCTAGGATGCTCATCAAGAAACTAATAAACCCTCGTGGGATGGGGTTTATCTGGAACAGATTCTCTCAATAAAAAAAAAGTCTTAACTTTGTTCCACCAATCAACCTTCTGGGGGAAAAGGAGAGAAAGTGACATTTGAAGGAAAATCCAGCCGGATAAGTTAACTCCATAAAGAGCAAAGCTTACAAACCTCAACTTTAAAACGTACGAGAATGGCTTTTGAAGGTATGGTGATTTTGCAAAGCAAATGTCTTTCTTTTCAATGCATTAGTTTTTTTGAATTGTACATTTTATCCGTGGGAACGATGGATTCCTTCTAATCATTATTGAATGGACCACCATACATATGCAAACATAAAGTCATGCTGATACCCATCCTTAAGCTGTTCTGATCACTCTTTAATTAAGAGTCTAGTCTAGGCTCGTAGTACATATTTTAGCTGAAAGAATACGTGAAAAAAATAGTAATTGCTTTTATGCAAGTAACTCAGTACCATGCATTAAAATGTTCCATTTACGAGTTTGGGTCACTAACACTTGCCTGAATGGGAATAGGTTCGGTTCTGTGAGACCCTCCCCCTTTCAATGTCCAAGTCCATACTCCAAACCGAAGAGATTCTTATGAAATATCTAAACTAGTACTTTTTTTAACATGGGATCCTAAAACGGTCGTGACATCAACTACATATCCTCTTAATTAAGCAGGTTTGTCCAACTCAAATTTGCGGAGTTTTGTGTGAGGATACTAGAGTTATAGTGTTGTAAACCTTCAAACTTCAATAATTTAGCCTAGAATCCCCAAGGGTTAGGGCTGTTTCAGTCGATCGTGCTCGTGCCCGGATGCTTACGCCAAAATTACTTCTTGCCATTTTCGTCTGAACAAATTTTCAACACATCCTGCATTTTTTTCTTTATTATGAAATCGACTTGGTACTTTTAACCTCACAAATGTGAAATTCTATTCAGAGTCTTGAGTCCAAATATGTTTTTGATTTGGTTTCGTTCTAGGGATTCTACACCTTACATGTCTAATGGAGAAAGAAAGGGGGAGCAGTGAATCAGAGACCTTATAAATTGCCTTAGCAATTTGACCATTGCTTTTGAAGAACTAATTAATGAGTCGAAATTAGAAGAATGGTTCTAAGGTTTGAATTGTTTGTAACGCACTTTACCTTAGAAGTTTTAGAGCTTTCTTTTTTTTTAAAAAAAAAAATAAGTGACAGAATTCGAATTTGGATTCTTTCCTACACTCCCTCTCTGGAGTTATCTAATCTATCTCCCCAGAAGCCTTAAAGTTTACACATCAGTTATATGTCGCATGGACATGCCTCGAGGAGTGAATAACATACTAGTAGTATTTGATTATGATCCGCTCAATTGACTAAAAGAAGTCAACAGAAAATTGAGAGCTAGGTTAATAGGGAATTAATCAAAATTACTACTTTAGGGCTCGGCTGCTTAACTACTTTTTTTTTTTTTTTTAGTGAATTCATGATAGTTGATACACCACCTTGACTTTGTTAAATTATAAGGATAAAAAGTTTTGCCTCTGATAGGAACTTGGACCGAATGTACCCTACATTGCAACGTATACAAACCTGATCCTGAATCATTAGGTCTCCCACTAAACCCCCCCCCCCCCCCCCCCCGCCCATCCCCAAAGCTAAAACTTGTTTAATGGCTGTTCTTCTTCCAAAAGAATTAAAGATAAGCAGCAACAAAATGTTAAATTGATGGGATCCCTCCTAACTTTTACTATAGCATATCCCTACTACAGGTGGTCAGAGTCAAAAAGACACAATGGGCTCTGAGACAGGGAGGATGTTTTCATGGAAATAAAAAGTTAAAAACCACTGAAGCTGAGTCATGAGTGTGTGAAAAACGACCCTTCTTTTCCCCATTAAGATTAACGTAATTTTGCTAATGATAACGAGATTGTCAGCAATGCAATTTATTTGCTAAGCATGCAGTGGTATTTTATTACAAGAAACTTGCTTTTCTTAAGGGTCATATCCATCATCTAACGTGGTACAGTACTATAGTCTTTGGTAGGTCATCTTCCATCATTTCATGGGAATGTTACACAAAATGCTCAAATGCTTGCCGCCCATTTGACAAATGAGTTTTTTTTGGATGTTTGATTAAAATTTTATTGTAATTTAGTGTATAAGTTGTAGAAAGAAAATTTTAGATGTAAAACAATTTTTTCTTTCCTCTCCTCTTCTTGTCCCTCACCTCACAAGCAACAGCGATAGTTTTTTTTCTTTCCTCTCACCCCCTCTTCTCCCTCTTTCTCTCCTCTTTCCTCCTCCCTCCCCCTCCCCCAGCTAGCGAAGGAGAGGGGGGGGGGAGAGAGGTGGAAAGAGGAGAGGAAGCGGGAGAAGAGAAAGTGGAAAAAAAACAGAGAGAAGCTACTTTTGCCGGTTAGAAAGTTGTTAAAAAACTAGTAGAAGAAAAATTAGGCAAAAAACAGCCTTCCAAACATGCCCTACATTTAACTGCAAAGGCTGGTGGCTTTTGCGCTTTGTCATTATGTATTTTTTCTTTTTCTTTTTTTTTTTTACCTATTATCTCGTACATATTCAAGCTGTTGGAATTGGGGTTGGAGTAAATCAGCAGAAAATAATCATGTTTAGAAACAGAATGCTATCTTCAGGGCTACGTTCTTGTTTCAATTCTTAATCGTGAAAACATTATCAGTAAGTTACTACTTCCAAGTTTTCCAAGTGTATAATGGTCATTAATTAGCAATCATGAATGATTATTACAAAGACAGGCAAACAATTGACGTATTTCAAATTGACAGTTTTTTTCTTTGAAATTTTAACTAATCAATGAGTGAAAATAAACAAAGTACCGAAAGAAAAGTCAGATAATATATATATATATATATATATTTCATTCATTAGCTTGCAATTTACTCAGATTCAATTTTTTGTTGACTTTTTATTTTCTGTTGTTTTAGGGTGTACATGAAAGATACACCAGAATATTAAAAATAAGAGGAAGGAAATAAACTTTTGAAAATATAATTAAAAAATTTTCAAGTTCATTTTGAAGATAAGAAAAGAAAATATAAAAAGTTTTGAGAAGCTTACATGTTAGGAGAATAACATGATTAATATTCTAGATACATAGGATGGCTCAAGTAATGATGCACAATTCTATCATTATATAACGACTCATTATTGGGAAAATGTACAGATATGATTGTGTTAAAAAAATTACTCCCTCTGCCCCATTTTTTATAGCCTTGATTTTTTAAATTACAATAACAATTTTGATGGAAAGTTGTACTATTTAAAGCATGAATTAAAGCAATTATTGAATAAGGTATGTTATATTCATCGATAACAAAATATATTAAGTGCATTTTAGAAAAATTAAAAATTAACTATAGTGTTCAATTGAAAAGTGGATTATAATTTAGAACGGATGAAAAAAAGAAATGGTCTGTCTACCTTATGAACTCTCATTAAGATGTATTTTAAATATTAATTTTTTAGAAATACAAGATTAATTAGCGATAAATGCAATGGAATTAATTAGAGATGTGTATATATGCAAGAAAAAGTAGTAATTGTTAGTACGTGTATAAATGCAAGGGAATTAATTAGAAAAAATGTATAAATGTAAGAAAAAATAGTAATTATTAATATGTGTATATATATGTAGGTTGGGTGGAATGTAAATGTGTTAACGTGTTAGAAAAACCCAAAAATAAAATAAGACTATTAAAGTGGGATGAAAGGAGTACATTAATCAGCATTAAATATTTTCGCTTTGTGGGTGGGAACCATCTTTCAATGTAAAATCTAAAAAAGAGAAATAAAAAGAGAAAAATTGCTCTGATGCTATTGAGTGCATCGTTAATTCCTGGGTCAAATAAATTCTATGCATAATTTTGTAGGATTGACCAAACTGTATACTGATTACTACCAAAAAAAGGAAGCGTAAAAGAGTAAAAAAACCCACAATAATGAGTATACAGTCATGAGCGAACCCAAGCTCCCTGACTAATAAAATCCGTCAGTGTCTCAGAAACTGAAAGACAACAACATACGAGAGAATTAAACGAGGAAACAGTTGAGAGGTAGATTTCGCGTTTCATCGCCTTCTTCACTTCTCCAGAGCTTAATAAAAGAGTAAGAAAGTATCCTTTCTTTTCCCTGTTGAAAACCAGGGTCTCATCCTGCAAACCTCTTGCTCGTTATAACTCTTTCCTCTGCCCAAACGTCTTGATTCATGAATGGAGATTGGAGATAGTATCTAGACTGGAAAAGAAAAGATACGGAGCCCTTTAGGCCTGTTTAGTCATTAGTGTACGCAAGAAGCGAACTTTGTGTGTGGGCAATTCCATTTTTCGAGTTCACTTGCTCAAAAAGTTGATGTGTTTTGTCTTTGCCTTTGCTAGTAGAGCCCATTGTATTGTCTCAAACAGATTAAAGGGTGCATTTATTGGTGGATAGCCATAGATTGGAAGAGTGGTGAAAGAAAGATCTCTGCTGGTGAAAATTGTTGAAGGGCATTTACTACTTTCCTGGCTGGTCTCTGACTGACCTTGGAAAACAACTTTCTGAGAAGTAGTGACCGCCGACTGAAATCTGTACAAATAATACAGCACTGACCTCTGCCACTGTCCTAGAAAAAGGTAAACTAGGGGTCAAATCTCTGATTATCTTTACTACTTAAAGTGGTTAAGATGATAGTTATTTTCGTACTCATGTACATTCTTTGGCTATACTTTTTAGCTGTATTTACAGGACTTATTTGGCCTAAAGTGGTGATACACCCCTCCAAGAGCTGAAGGTGGAGGACTTTTTTGTCTGAGAGTTCGGTTTGGTGGTATTTCTCTTGTTTTGTAACGAAGAAGTGTGGGTTAGTTTTAACTTGTTTCAGTTTCAGAGTTTCAGAGAAGGGAAAAAGCAATGGTGCCACAGAAACAAGCTGAAGAAGCTATTGTCGCTGGGGACGCAAGTGTGAATGACGGAACTGACGGAGGAGAGGAAGGAAGAGTAGATCATGAGCCTATCCATAGGTTCAAAAGCTTATTCTGGCATGGAGGCTCTGTTTATGATGCTTGGTTCAGCTGCGCCTCAAATCAGGTTATAATTCTGAAATTACCCTCCACACATTGTTAAAGTGTTTTTTTTTTTACAAGCAGAATTCTATTTCGATAGTGCCTAAAGAAAAACAGAAAATACGAAAGAAATAAAAATCGAGTATTGGCTTTATTTGATCGCAGGTGGCACAGGTTCTATTGACTTTGCCATACTCTTTCTCCCAACTGGGAATGCTTTCAGGAGTAATTCTGCAGGTATTTTATGGTTTGTTAGGCAGCTGGACTGCTTATCTGATCAGTGTCCTCTATGTTGAGTACCGGACCAGAAAGGAGAAGGAGAATGTCAGCTTCAAAAACCATGTTATTCAGGTTAGCTCTATATGCGAATCTGCAAACATTTCTGGGGAACCCGAAAATCCGTCTATGCCTTTTTCCCCACTAACTGAATAAATAGTTAAATACTAACACCATTATAGTCTGCAAGCAGTTTAAGAATATGCTTTTTTTTTTTTCAAACAAACTAGAGTGTTCCTACCTGTCTACGCAGTGGTACGAGGTGTTGGATGGTTTATTGGGTCCACAATGGAAAGCTGTTGGATTAGCTTTTAATTGCACTTTCCTCCTGTTTGGTTCTGTTATACAGCTTATAGCTTGTGCAAGGTCAGTCTATCTTTAATCATCAGACTTGGCAAAAGGCCAATTTCTCTTTTTTGATTTGCTAGGCTGTTAGCACTTTCTTTAGATTTTGCAAATTTTGATTACAAAGTTTGGTTAAGTTTTTTATCTTAGTTTACTTATCTTGTTATTCTTGTAAGTGCAGCAATATATATTACATTAATGATCGATTGGACAAGAGAACATGGACATACATATTTGGGGCGTGTTGTGCAACTACCGTGTTCATCCCCTCGTTTCACAACTACAGGATTTGGTCATTTTTGGGTCTGGGCATGACCACTTTTACTGCATGGTACCTGGCTATTGCGGCCCTTATTCATGGCCAGGTATGATGGAAACGATGCTGATCATCACTAACTTTTTTGCTCGGAAATTGTTGTTAAATCAGCAATTACTTTTCTCTTTTGTAGGTTGATGGGGTAAAACATTCTGGCCCAACAAAACTGGTATTGTATTTTACTGGTGCCACCAACGTACTTTACACTTTCGGTGGTCATGCTGTCACTGTGTGAGTAGTTTCTTCAACTCTGCGGGGGAATTTCCATATGTAAAACCCCTTTGGAAATCTTTTGTCTTTTAACGGTTCTTTATACTGGGAAATCTTCTTATCAAGTAAGAGCACACATGTTTGCAGATCTGGTATAAGACCACTAACATTAACTATGCTCCTTAATTGAACAAGTTTTAAAAAGACTATTTGAAGAGCAATTTAGAGATGTTTTATCAGAAAGCTGATTATTTATCTGTCAGGTAAAGATATTAGAAGGCGCTACACATGAGTACTTCCTCGATAAAATGCATGTGCTTTGGTATTAAAATTGAGTTGTTACATGTATCAGTTGTTTATGAAGATCATGATCCTTGTAGGATAAATGGAGACTAAATCTATCCTGGAAACAAGCGTTATTCTGCAGGATGAATACAATCTCTAAAGCATTTATTCGCCTGTCATTTGGAATGGGACTGTAACGTTATCAGTTCAATTATATGGACAGGCTTATATTCAATAGGTTTGTTGTGATATATGTCAAGCTGATGGTGAATATAGCAAGTATCTAAAACACAAGTCAGATGTCCCACTTTTCTGTTTGTCTTGACAGGTGACAGTATAAAATACAAATCGGTCATGGATTAATGTACTAATGCAAGAGTCTTGGTTCCTTCAGGGAGATCATGCATGCAATGTGGAAGCCGCGGAAATTCAAGTACGTGTATCTGTTTGCGACCATCTACGTCTTCACACTAACAATTCCATCGGCTGCTGCTGTTTATTGGGCCTTCGGTGACCAGCTCCTTGACCATGCAAATGCCTTCTCACTACTTCCTCGCACTGGTTTTCGTGATGCAGCTGTTATTCTAATGCTAATCCATCAGGTCTTTAGTCACTATTTCTTTGACTAAATTCTCACATTTGACTAGTGTAATTGATGATTATTTTAATTAAATGGCTCTGATGCAGTTCATAACATTTGGATTTGCTTGCACCCCTCTGTATTTTGTGTGGGAAAAAGTGGTAAGGATGCACGACACAAAAAGCATATGTTTAAGGGCATTGGTCAGGATACCGGTGGTAATACCAATTTGGTTCCTGGCCATAATATTTCCCTTCTTTGGGCCAATCAATTCAGCTGTGGGAGCACTTTTAGTCAGCTTCACCGTCTACATTATCCCTTCTCTTGCACATATGCTTACTTACCGAAAGGCCTCAGCGCGGCAGGTAACTGTTCCATTCTCTTTTGGCTTTCATTACTTGGATGCTTTTTACTTGCTGGAACTGTCCCCCTTGGTTATTTACTATCCACGATTGGTACACCATATGTTTGGCTAACCCTTGTGTCGAAATTGACTGTGACTGGTTAGCCATGGAGCATTGCGAATTATAGTTTCAAAAATCAATTATTGGGAAATTATTTGGCATACGGACATTTCAAACTTCTGTAGGCATCAATGGTGGGGTTGAGCACTTTATCTTAAATAGTCAGCTAGCTCCTTCTAGCTTCTTTCTTGATTGTCACACCAGAAGAGTACATATAGGCTTCCACGACAGGTGATCGTAGTAAGAGCACATCCAAAAACGCTATAAATGGAGCCTTTAGATAGCTGGAGAGTATGAGCAACATCGACGTATCTAGTAAGATAAACAAGAGAAGATTCAGTGATCCCTGGGAGATTAGAAAAGCATCACTATCATTCATGTGAGGCAAATAGGAAAGCACAATTATGTGATATTGGCTAAGTCCCAATTTTAACTTTTTACTGGTTTAGATTTCAAGGGGACTCAGAAATAAACCCATGAATTTTACTCGCGGTTGAAAGAATCCATATCAGCAAATTTACGAGATAGGTTTGGTAGAGTTTCCTTGTCATTGGTTATTTGCAGCAGTCAGTCCTGCTAATGCTAGTCACATCCTACATTGAGCTGGCTAGCTGACCCACCAATACCTACTCTACTAGGGTTGCCAGATATATTGTTATCGTTGTCCACATTTTGTCATGCTATCTAATATGTATTGACAGACTACTTTCTTGGTTTGGCATCTTGAAGGAACTAGTAAGAGATTTTGCACGATAGCGTGGTACTTTATTGCAGTTGTTTATGGACTATGAAATTTACGATACCCTGATGTTGGATGTCCAGAATGCTGCAGAAAAGCCACCATTCTTCCTACCGAGCTGGACCGCCATGTTTGTTTTGAACACATTCGTGGTGGGATGGGTTTTCGTGGTTGGATTTGGATTCGGAGGGTGGGCAAGCATGAGCAACTTCATCAATCAGGTTGATTCATTTGGTCTGTTTGCCAAATGCTATCAGTGCAAGCCTCCTGCACATCATCACTGAGTCGGGATGCAATTAGCATCATACTAACCACCTCGCAATGTCCACTTGTGTGCGGTGTGCTGTTGTTTCTCCCAATATTTTTGTTCAGCATATGTATGATCGATGCACTAGTCTCTAGTACTGGATGCTTGTTGATAATTTTTTAGGCTCAAACGCAAAATAGCCAAGTCTCTATTAGTAGTAATATCATCATTTATCACATAGTATGTAATAGATTTTGTTAAATTCTGAAGCTTGTACGACTAGGTTCTACAGGCTAGTTAGTCAAAGTTTTAGCACGGCGTGGCATCTGCATTACATTATTGTCATTTGCCAACCCTTCAGTTCTTTGTCAATGAAGTTCTCAAGGCAAAGATTTTCTTGGGTCACCTCATCTACCGTGTGATTGACACGACACTACTGCTATGTGTTGTCTTTACCCGGGTTCCGTTTGACAAGATAGTTTCTTTGATGCATCCACAAAGCTCGTGCCTGGAATTTATGCTAATACTTTGCAATATCCATTTCTGATTTAACTTGTAAAACTACATGATTCCTCCATGAACATTCAACTTATTATGAAACGTAGCTCATTAAGAAAAAAAAAAAATTCTTGGAGACTTGTAAGGTCCAACACAATTAATGATTCCCCAGTGATACCGGTCCAAAGTGCAAAACTGGAGTCAGGGTTTACTGCTTGCTTGGCCCTAATCGTTTGCGGGAATTTGCGGGATGGGCTGGAAGTTAGGCGGATTTTCTCCCAGTTTCCAAAATAAAGTCGGCTAGCAATAATTTCCCGAAGACCAAGGAGCATGGAATCTTGGATCTCCGCCCAATTTCTTTGTGCAACCTCAAAATCCCAGCAACTCTTTGAATATCGCGCTGCACAAGTTATACTACTCCCAAATTTGCAAGAAGGCAGATAATGGAAAATGCTTTCAATCGTTAAGGATAGTGTACAAAACTTTGCACAGTTTATGCAAACCAAAAATATGTAGTACAGTATATTATTATTGTTACCCGATAAATGAAATCACCTTCCCCAATTTTGCCCAGACGGCCGCTTTTGCCCATCTGGACTGCTCAACTTCCATATTCCCTTCGCTTTTGTAGTTTCCCATTTCTCACGCATGGAATCAATCTGAACTCCATCTTTAGTCCTTCCCATGCCAAAGCTGTGAAGTGTGAACTAGTACTAAACTTTTAACTTATTTGTGGTTCAGCTACTCCTCACCCTTCCTCCTAGAATTAAAAAACATGGCTCCCCCAAGAAATAGACGCAGAAAGGTCTATACTTTTACACTTGCCAACAGCATTTTGTTTTTTTAAATTTGTCTCTAATTTTTTCCTTCAAAGACTGGACTTTTATGGGAAAGATTTTCCTTTGCAGGTTGGTTCGATGAGAATTGATGCCGCATTGGATTCTATGCGTCCGATGGGGTTCCCGGATGATGTTGTTCGCAAATCCATCAAAGACTTGCTCAAGGTTTCCAATGTTACTCGATTCCTTGTAACTAAATTCCCACCTATTTCGCTGCTGTTTTGAATGGGTTTTTTCTTTTTTTTTTTTCCCCCCGTCAAGGTTTATGGGGAGGATGGATGGATTTTCATTGAGGAGGCTTCTTACAAGCTCCTCATTGAAACGATTATTGAAGGACAGCAAGAAGGCAGAGCAGGAAGAGATGATGGAAGTGGGAGTGGTGAAAAATCTGGATCACTAGAAGAGATGTGTGATAAGGAAGAGCGCTGCCAGGAACAAAAGTGTCTACCAGTGGAGATTGATGCTGAGAAAAGTCCAAGCAAAAATTCTCAGACCCACCATCACTTCATTTCCAAGGTAATGCCTTTTTTTTTCCATTTATTTAGTAACTTTGCTGATTTTTTAATTAGAGCACTTGGAAGAGAAATTGATAGCGACTGTAAGGATTCATAGCATATGATTAGGTTATCAGCGTTTGATATTACAGCTTTGAGAAAGAAGGGGACTAAATCAGTCAAGTAATCCACACTTTTGGCCTTCAGAAGTCGGAGTCTTGATACCCCACAGAATTGCAATTTTATCTTTCAGTTTGCATAACTCCAAATATCAGGATTTACTTATCAGAAAGAATTTGACAATTTCATTCTTTCAATTTGCATAACACCAATCATCGGAATTTACTTATCAGTGAAACTAAAATGACTTGCTGTCAAATTTGACAGAAACATCCTGTAAATACAGCACAAGTAATGTGTAGAATGCTAATGTGAACGATTAGAGAAGTACCAATTGCTTGCAACAAGCCAATTAGCTTTATTGTGCTTGCTATTGAATTTTTTGTTCTGTTGGTTACCGTCAAATGTTCTGTCACAATTTTAAAGAGCTTAGAGCTTACTAAGTTTCTCCCTTCAGTTACGGATTTTCGAAATGTCAACGCTGATTTTCCATGAGAAAATTTTCTGAAGCAAAGGAAAATGACAGCTCTTCTGGTGTAATCGTGTTGAACTTTCTCTATATACAGTAATGACGCAGCAGACATCCCCGAAGAGTTCAGAGGTTTTTGGTAAAATAACTGTGTCTCTGCTACTACTTGGTAAAATTTGGGTTATATTGCTAATTGATCGTACCGTAGAATATGCACTCCCTTGTTGTGAAGAAGTGTTGAGAGTTTAGACGAATGCATCTGTACTTTTTGGGGGAGTTGGTGATTCATTAGTACTTTCTTACCTGTAGGGGCTTCTTGAAAAATTTGCATATACTTGATATAATCTGATTGGGATGTCTCCCTTGTATATATGATCTGCAGCATCCGATCAGAAGATTCAGAACTAACTTTTCTATTGATTTTCAGACCAATTTATAACTGCATTGTACCTTTTGTACCTTTAAAATCTGCATTGTATCTAAGCTATAACCAAGTCCTACTCATTGAAGGATGACTCTGGGCAACCTCAACTCGGTCCACCGGTGGACTTTGCTCCAACTTACTCTCCCATGGACTGTGTACTGACTAACCAAACACAAAAACCATCTTGTGGATGGCTCGATGCTGATGATGAGGAAGATTAGTTTCTATCGCTGCCTCCTGGTAATGGTGCTATTCCAAAATGATGTGGTAAATGGACAAATTGCCAATTATGATCTTCTGCCGTTTCGCTTTGCAGATATCTCTAACCCAAACTGATGTTACTAGTTAACTACTACGCAAACTTTAGATATTGGTGGTTATAGATGCGCTAATTACTGGCGCACCATCATCTACAGCTGTAAATATGACATCTTGCACCAGAAGTGCAGAAGTAAGTAGCTGCTCATGTTTCCTTAAGTAGCTGCTTATGTTTCTTTCTCCTTTGGGTTAGCCAGCATCTTATCAAGTTGATGTCAAATTCCCACATGCACAGTTGTGAATTTCCTGTTTCCTTTTCAACTACTTAATAAATTTCGTTGCAGTGTAGCAAAACAGCATCTTGAATCAGGCCATGGAAATAGGATTTGGAGTAGGTTGGGCCAAATGCAGCCCCAGTACAACGTAAAAATTTGCAATATTTCTTTATGCAGCGGCTTATTGGACATGTTATAATCCTGGATTACATACGTGGTTGGTTAAGTCTCTCGTTCCCCCGCGGACCATAGGTACTTGGCAGAGCCCCAAAGGTAATTTTGTTGGAGATTACACTTTCCTGATTACGATGTTAAAAACTAGGAGGCAAATAGTAAACGACGCTGGGCATATGCTTTGAAGCTTTTCATATTGTACTTGTCATGTATATAATCTAGGCATCTTGTTTTCCCCTTTTGCTCCCCACTAGAGCTATTTAATGCAGGGAAAATTTTTTTGCCAATGGTTACTGTGAAGATCACCACCACTGTCTTCTTATTTAGAGGGGTGAAAACAAGGAAGAAGCTGAAACGAAATACATCACCTAGTACTCCTTCAAGGAAAAAGAGAAACTACGAAGAAAACGTGCTTGGCACAAAAAGGAAAAAGAAGGGACCAGAAGTTTTATCAATTCTTTGTCCTTTTGTAAAAAGTGAAGTGAGCTAATTTTATTCCATATAAGAAGGATATGAAGTTGGATCAACTCTTTCTTGCTTCTCATTTGTGGCTGGAGAAGAATTAGCATGTTGGCCCTCTAGGATTTGTGATGCCAGCTGATACACATAACCTTTGTGAATTCAGCAAATGCTTTGTTGTTAGAATTCGAAAATAAGTGCAAATTTATACTGAAAGTAAAATATTTGGATGTGAGCGAAACTCTAAAATTTAGAATTCGAAATGTCACCATAATAATATTTACTCCTCGATTAATGCCAATCACAGTTTATGTTTATATCACTCGGTTTAGCCAGCTTATATTTATATTTTTATAACTTGAAATTTTGTTAACTAGCTTTATTTCAAACAAATGTTTCTGATGGGGTTGAAGTGATGCCAACTAAAATTCCATTTATGCTAAATAGGCCGCTTAACATCCGTACTCTTTAACCCGTCACAATCATGGATCAAAGTCGCGGTCGCAGTCACAGTCACAGTCTAGATTATTTTACATCGATTTCGGTATATCGGTCATTGTCTCGGTGAGATGTAAATTTTAAAGTATTTAATATCCTAAAAATTGTGAATAATATTCAAAAATTTGCTGAACAAAAATAATAAAAAAATTAGCAAAAAAAATCTATAAAATGTAAATTTGCAATTTGATTTGGGCTAATTCAATGAGACTATCTGTATCGGAAACTTCTCTACCCAATTCTCAGTGATTCGGTCGATATTTCAACTGAAACTATCCATGTATCTCGGAGTCATCTCGTCTCGATATTAGAACGGGAGAAATCTGTTCTAGTGATAACTGAGCCGAGACTTTGAACCATGGTCACAAGACACGATATTAGGTCGTACATATCATTAAAGCACCTATGAACCCAAAACGAGCACTTGTGACTTTTATTTATTTTATTATTATTATTTTTTTTTGTGTTAAATACAAGATTCGAATTCTAAATTATAAGCTTTTACTGAAGTCAAAATTTTTGATGAGCTTAAAAAATAAATTTTTTTGATCAGTTAGTTTTCTTTCAAGAATCATCAATACATTTTTCAATCATCTTTTTATCTCACATAGATCACATAAAAAAAAAAAAGAAGAGTGCTTCAGTATTTCTTTCAAAAAACCATCCCAATTAATCTACCATTCAAATGCATTTTTTTTTTGGGGGGTCAGAAAAATGTTAGGAGATAAAGAGGCTTCAGAAAAAGTTGCAAGAGTGTACTCTTTTTGGGTTGTGTACTCTGTCCATATGGTTGAAGCCTGAAGGAGTAGTGGACCTAGTGGTTGTGAACCCAATGAATCTGATTTCGTAAATTTTATAAGATTTAAAGGTTTTCCGAGGTTGTTGAGGCCCAAGCAATTTTAAGTAACAAAAGGAGGAGGCCTACGTGGCTTTTCCCCCATGAAGTGAACATGAACTGGTGAATGCAAATGGGGCCTACCACATCACAACCTCTCCCCGATTGCCACGTACGTACCGTGCCGTGCCGTACGTACGTTACACTCACATACTGTAGCTGCTTACGAGCAAAAGCCAAAGTCGGTCCTCACTCATCACTCTCTCGTTGCCATATTTAGCGCCCACGACGAGACAACGGACAGCCTCCCCCTCTCTTCTCTCCTTTCTGCCATCTTAACCAAAAATCCCTCTGCACTTTCCCCGCACTCTGTTTTGTGTTGATATTCCTTTTTGTTACTCTTCAATTTTCTCCACCCAAAGTTTCTCCCTCTCTTTTTTGACCCTGTTAAATTGTGTTCGCTGGATACTTTAATACCAGAATAGTGGTACCGTACGGGGTCATCGCCAAAGAGCTCCGGTGTCTTTATTTTTTCTCCCTTTTTCTGGCAAAAGGACTGTCTCGAACTGTGAAGGGGGTTGAGAGCTGACGACCTTTGGAGCTATTCATAATGGCCCCTAGAGGAAGATCTAGGAAGGTTTTCTTTCATCAACTTTCTCCAGCTCTGATTTTCTTTTGTTCATGGTTATTTTCCACGCTCTTTTTGACATCTTTTTTGAGGGGGTTTTTTCAGTCCCGGGATACGAGGATGGACGCAGCCGTTGATGCCATGACGAAAAACTATGGGTTTCCTGAGGAAATTGTGAAGAGGGTAGCAAAAGAGCTGCTCAAAGTACGCCCGAGTCTTTTTACTCTTTTTGTTCCCCCTTGTTTGGCCTCCGAAAAACCCTGTATATTAACAAAAATGTAGCTTACATAAGGAAGTAGTAAGTGATTTTAAGGGGGCTTCCCTTATTATCGGCTGACTTCTGCCCTTTTGTTTTACTGCAATCTGTTTTTGAAAGACAAAGATTTATCTTCCTATTTTGTTTTTCTGATTTTTATTTTTGGGGGACGGTTTTGTCGGTGCTTACCTGTGGATGTTTGTTTCTCTGTTCATATTTAGGAGTATGAGGGAGATCAAGGAGATGAGGGCTGGTTTTTCATCGAGGACTGCTCTTACCAAGTATTGGTTGACGCGCTTTTGCTGGATCAAGAGCTAAATGATCGGCACGATGCTCCTCCTAATCAGAAAGAGGATGCTTTGCCACAGGTATTAGTATTGGGGTAATATTTGTTTAGCATTCAGCCTCTTTTTTTATTGTGTTTTAAATTTAATTGCTTTTATGACTGCAAAGTATGAGCTACTCATGTTATTTATTTGTTTTGAGGCACTTAACGAAAAAAAAAAAAAAGAAATGTGAAAACAAATATTGCCCTTTTGCACTGAAGATACTAAGGCAAAGTGCTTGTATTAATGATAAACAAAAGCGTGCATTACTCTGAAGTATAATGTAAAACAAAATGAGGTGTTACGAGGATGGACATACGTGCCTCGTATATTCTGCCGAGGTGCAAATAATTATTAAGGAAATATGTGGGCATTCCAAATTTTCTTGATTTTGTTCTGTTCTTTCTCCCATACTCTGAAGATATAGTCATCCTGTTGCAGGCTTCATTTTGAAATTTCACACTGTAAGTCAAATGATATGCTCATTAACACTACGTAACTGTTTAGTCTAATCCTGCTATTAGGGATTTTCCTGGTTTAAATACTGCATCGACATTACATTTGAGATGGAACCTTGATGCAAAAAGCAATCCGTTTATGTAGAACTTGACATGTCAGAAATGTATCAAGTTAGCGAAGTGGATTTACTTCTAGTAAGTTCATCTTACAATCTGCTATAACTGATTGCCTCCACTTCAGCCATTCTGTACTAGATTATCATTGTAGCAACACTGGTTCCACTTTGTCATATGAATACTATGGCTTTCGTGACCACTTCTGTCGATGCATGCATGCAAAGGTGTCATGTTTTTTACCCTCTGTTTGTACCTCTTGCATCTTTTTCATAGATTTTATTGGTAGTACTTTCTGGACTTTCAATGTGATCATTCATCTCCTCTTCAAACTTATTTTTTCTGTGCTTGTCTCTGCTTTATCTGGTTTTCAATTACAATGATGCACCAGAAGACAGTTGTTTTTCCAACCACCCATGAAGACAAGATAGATCACAAAAAGAATGCTGGATTTGGTATCCAGAAACAAGAACATATTTAGATTCTTAACTAGGGCCTTCCTTTAATGCATGGACAAAATAATTTCGATATGTTCTCAACAATGTTATATCTTTTCGGTGACCATCCAAGGAATTTTTTTTTTCGTATTATTGATTCTATGGTCTGGTCATGTGCTAGGAGTGGACTAGGTTAGGTAACTATTATACTGAGTTATGCAAATGGACAGGTTCATGGTCTTTCTTCATAATTGCGTCTTCAAACCCAGACTAAGTAAGTTACCGCAACATTTGGTCATAATATTTCATTCATTCCACCATGCAGCACAAGCTGCAGTGCTAGAAATGTCAGATAAGAGTATTAGTGCAATTGTGCCTAATTCATCAGGTTGCATTGGGCAAAAGTGAATTTCCAATTGCAGCAGTTAAGTGGCATCGCCAATTTTTTGCTCATGTTTGCATGTTCTTTCCAGAATATCTCTTTGCAAGATGAAAGGGCTGCAGAACATGCTTTAGCAGAGCCCTCTGGTGTAGTTTCGGAAGCCAATTGCTCTAAGGTTGTTGAGAATAAATTGGAGGCAAACACCAAAGGTAATGATGCTTACTATTCTTTCTTTCTTGTTTTTCCTAGGAGTGGCTTTTACAAGAAGTTGTCAGTGCTGTTTGATCAGCCACAGCTAATGTTCCAATACATAAGATGTATTATTTTTTGCTTATAGTTTCCCATTTCTTTTATCTTTAGAACAATATAATGGCTGGAAACTTCTTTAGATGTTTCAAAATTTGAACTATTGCTCAAGCAGGTGCTAAGTAATAGTAATGGTAGAGCAGGATTCAGAATCCTCCTCAACCTTCATTTAAATAATTAAACAACAAACCTTTTATCAAGTCCTCCAATATCTTTTTTGATTCTGTTATGAGATATGCCTGCCATGCTGTACTTAAGATGCTAACATTTGGCAATATATGGAGAATAAGGTCATTGAAGTATTTAATAATTTTGAGGGGCAGTTTTGTGGACTACACAAGTTATATTGCCTATTTTTGCTTTGCAGAAGATGCAGACCGGCTTCCATCCAGTGGCAGGGACGGAAAAGGCTGGAAAGACATTGGCTTGGATCAGTCTTCAAGTGAGAAAGGGAGGGCTGCTGGCATTTCTGACAACGATGAGATAGGTGGCTCCAGTCAGGATTGTGCAAATAGTGTAATACTCACCCCTCCGTCTCTGACTCCTACAACACCAGGAGGTAGTAGTGTTTCAAGCCCACCTGAAAACTGTCCAGTGCTCTCTCCTTTTCCTAAGATCTCACCTCCAAATGTTAAGCGCGTTCAGAGCAAAAGGCGTCAGCCATGTAATGGATGGATATTTGAGAGTGATGAAGAGGAGGATGAGGATATGATAGACCTAAAACCGGCTATAGAGTGGGAAGATTTGAGTTGGGGAACTGTTAAGAAGGCAAAGCGAAGCTCAAGATGGGACTTGAGACCTGAGGATATCTGAGTCTCGCTGTACCTCCCTCCGTGTGTTGTTTCATGGTTTCCCTGTGCTACTGTTATTTAAGAGGTGCATCTGATATATCAAACCTTCTTTTTTTTTATATATGTTTTATTCCTCTTTACTTTTAGGAAGAGATGACAAAAGGGGGAGGGTGAATGCCGCTGAGATTCATTCTTGATTAACCATGCAAGCTAGTTTACATTATTTCTCACCTCAAACCTTCATGTTGGGTAACGAAGTTTAGGAAAGTATAAGTTCCCTTTGCTAATATTATGCATGTTTGTAAAGGTTGTAAAAACCTTTTGATCGTTGATGTTTCTGTTTCTTAATTTAGTCTCTCTCTCTCTCTCCCTCTCTTTCTATATATATGTGTGTGTGTGTATCTGTTCATGCTAGAAAAAGTTGCCTATGATTGGATGAAATGGCTAGCAGAAGGGCAGGAGATTGCTGTCCATTAGACCTACTAGTGCAAATGGCAGTTTTAAGCTGTAGCGCAAATGCACTGCGCTTCTTAATCACTGCATGTGAAAGGTAACTAACTAACTGTTCTTTGTCTGTTTTCTACCCTCCTTGCGATGTTTGAATCATCTCTGCTATTGCTCGGTGGCTTTATTTACTTCTCTTAATTACTAGTAGTCTTTATTGTTTTGTTTCACGAGTTGGAAAGTTCAGTATTCTTTATCTTCATTTGTTGAAGTTATATGGTAGAAATTATCTTCATCAGTTTAATGTCAATTGGTTCGTTTTTGCAGTCTGCAAACTCTCTTTCTGCTCTCTCTTCCACGTCCGAGTCCTCTGTCTCTCTGATGGATGTAGAGAATTAGAAAAGGTGAATCACCAAATATTGAACTTGTGTTCTGCCCTTCTCTTGCAGCATAAGACTTGGGCATGCATCCACTCAATTCATTCTCTGCACGTACTCTGCAATTTTCTTTTTTTTTTTTGGGCTGTCGAATCAAGCTTATTATTTCCCGAAGTTTAATTTGGACTCTAAAGAATCTTTTTCAGGTAGAATTTTTTTTAAAAAAAAAAAAAAAAGAAGAAGAAAAACGAAAACTATTCCAATTATCCAATACTAACTATTGACTATTAAGCTTCCCCGTCTCGTTCAAACCAATTATTCATTGGTTGCCGGACACTGAAACCAGGGCACGAGCCCAATTAGGCCCAGTTCTGAAAAAGGATTAGGATTGTGGTGACACGTGGCTGAATCTAATTAGTCACTTAAAGTTTTAGCCTTCCAACGAGAACCATCCCAGCTCAACAGAGATTTCTCATTTTTCGGCGGGCGAAACCTCAACGAACAAAAATTCTGAAACCAAGAAAAAAAAAAAAAAAAAGGAAAAAGGAACAAAATACGGCACCGAACTGCAGTCCAGAGATATTCTTCCCTTGAGAAAAAGACGGATAAGATATTTCTGTCAAAACCTCCCAATCTCCCAGCAAAGGTTTAAGCAAAACAATTGATTTTCACCTATTAAATTGTCAGAACCCTGCATTTACTCCCAATAAATACATAAATAAATCAATGTACGCATAATCTTGTTTTTCATTCAACTCATCTAGTAATATGAATTTGGGGGCGAGTTTTCAAGCAAGTCTCCTGCCTTTATCCCAGTGCGGCTCTTGCTCTGTAATCCATTCCCAGCCGTTAGCTTTTCCTCCGGTGATTAGTCGTAAATTGAAGGCCCATTTTTTGGCTACCCAATTACGCAGGTAACTTGAAACTTACCTTGTATGCAGATTATTATTCCGGAAATTTATCTGTTTTTATATGTATGTATTTTATCCCTTGAGTTTTCTGGGTTTCTTTTGTATTGAATGAGTATATGATTGTGCTTTCTTTGTTCCGTAGAAATGGAAAAGTTGTCTGTAGAATGAGTGAGACGGAAATTGATCCTGAAAGCGATAATAATGAGACGGTAAAGTTCAGTAGTTATGTTGATTCAAGTAGATATTTGTCCTATAAAGTATATGTAAGTCGAAACAGCTGATACCTTTTTCCCTGTGACGTGGTTTGTATTCCCACTCTGATAATATAGGATCAAAGCGTACATGACGAGGAGGATCAGCTGAAGTCGGTGAGTGAGTTAGTTGTGGGAAATGACTCTGATCATGTGATTATTTCTATAGTTGGTTTTTATTTTGTTCGATGCGAAGAACTGTGCTGAGGAAAATTCATTTGTATTTTTGGAATAGGTAGTGTTTCTGATGGTTATACACTGTTGTATTAGGATAAGCACCAGTCTCCCGAGACAGGCATGCTCGAGTCTAATAGCCTAGAAGTGAAGCACAGTCCTGAAACCGATGCTCAGACGGGAGGAGCTGAGGTGCATTTTATCTTAGTTTTATGCCGTCATTGCTTTTGTTTGGGTTATTTAGTTATTACTTATTTCTTGATTCATAGCCTAGACTTGACGCTTGAGCCTTCCTTTTTTCCCAGTTGATAATCTGTTCTTATATCTGCCAATAGTGGGTTTGGAATTTTATACCCCAATCTTTTGTTTTACTTGTAAAGACTGACAAGATGGAGAAACAACATTCTGGAACGGATGCCTGCACCTTGTGCGGCTTCTGAATTATTTCTTAACTTTGTTTCTGTTGACACCTTTCTTACAGGATGGCGAGGATTTACAAGTTTCAATTGGATCACCTCTGCCAGGTGTGAAGGTGATAGGAACTAGAGATACTGATGAAACATCATATGGGTTTACATACCCTTTTCTATGTGGCATGAAGTTTTTAATTTGAATTCTTTCTTTCCCTGTGATATGATCTAAACAGCCACAGCAACTTGATGAATCAATTAGGATCCCAAAGGAAACAATTGATGTTCTGAGAGATCAAGTGTTTGGTTTTGATACCTTTTTTGTCACTGGCCAGGAGCCCTATGAGGTGAGTGAGTTAGGTAGCTGACTTTTTATAGAATGACCGATCTCTTGTTTGAAGATGGATAACACAAAGGGCTTTGCTGCTCTCTAAAGTATATCTTCGTTAATCTCATCGTGCAATATGGAGGTAAAATTTCATGAACCAGTGAAAGATCTTCAAAAAGTAATATACATTTACCTCGTTTACTCTGATGCTGCTCTAATCTAATGTTTTTGATTATATGGAGTGGACAAAGTTGTCAATCTCTGGTATTTCTTTCTTAGTGACCCTAAAAATTAACTTTTAAAGGGTGGAGTGCTATTCAAGGGAAACCTACGTGGGCAAGCTACAAAAAGTTATGAGAAGATAACAAAGAGAATGGAGGTGGGTGTATTTGCTCCTAGAATTGGAGTTTGAGCAGTTCTGTGGCCTTGGACTTTCCAAAATGATCCATTTTTTATGCACAGGACAAGTTTGGAGATGAATATAAGCTTTTCCTTTTGATCAATCCAGAGGATGATAAGCCTGTGGCGGTTGTGGTTCCCAGAAAATCCCTGCCACCAGATACCACTGGTAACTTTTTCTCTATGCAGAGTTCCTTCCAGAAACGAATTACCAAAATTTCCAACACGGTTGTCTATCCAGACAAGATGAACCTGAAACACCTAGATCTGATGCATGACCATAACTTCGTTTCGAATTCTGCAGCTCTTCCAGAATGGTTTGCAGCAGGGGCTTTTGGATTAGTCACCTTGTTCACCTTACTTCTTCGAAATGTACCAGCACTACAATCAAACTTCTTGTGCGTACTCCATCAAACTGTATATGCAATGTGTTTAGGTTAGACTTGTTGTGCTTAGGAGTATCTGGCCTTATGCAAAATTACTACAAACAGTTTGACTTAAGTTTTGGGCAAGGAATCCCCTTAATTCTACTGATTGCGTGGTTATGTTTTTCATTTGTCTGTTTTTTTTTTCATCTTTTTCTCTTGTGGGTGGCATTCATGTAACAAGAGTCTGAATTTAGATTTAGTGATTACAAGATTTTTCCTGTCATTCTTCAGATTGACTTTTGACAATCTCGAACTGTTGAAGGATGGCCTTCCTGGTGCCCTTGTAACATTACTTGTTCTTGGTGCCCATGAAGTCTGCCACATTTTAGTAGCAAGTGAAAGTGGAATCAAGCTAGGAGTGCCGTATTTTATCCCTAGTTGGCAGGTGAGGTATCCCCTTCCTCTACGCCTTATACTGGAGGGTGGCTTATATTCCATCTCTCTCTCTCTCTCCCCCTCTCTCTGTTATCATAAGATTCAGAATCAATAGATATTGCTGTCATTGAGTTTAGTTCTGGATGTCATTTATGCATTCTTTAGCATGTTCTAAGGTTTTGACATTGAAGGTTTAACTAGGAGTAAATTTAATTCGTATCATGCCTTGTTCATCTGGTATGAATATAGTGCATAAGCTCTTTTTTTGGCTTTCCTTATTTTAGAGCTGTTTATCTATGTGCTGATGATCTCAATTAGATATCAGTGGGATCAAATTGTTGTAGAGCTTGGCCTTGCAATAGATTCTGTTTTGTTGAAGACCTGCAATCCAACTTCATCTGTATGACACTTGTTTTAAAGTTAATAGCACTTTGAGGATTTGACAAGTGGTTCTGGATTGTGGTTGAAGCAAAAGTCCATAGTTTCTGAGTTAAACAGTGTTCAATCCTGGCCTAATCTATAGCCTATGTTACTTGGACTCTTTATTTTACCCCAAAGTACCTGTGTCAACATGACATGACACTGGTGCTGGTTTGGGATATGTGTCTGACAGTTTGAAAAATTTTTGGACACTTTGACTTATGTGAGGTCTGATGTTGAAGGAAGAGGAGGAGACCTGGTTGAGAAAACTCATAGATGTAGAAGACTTGTTGTATTGGAATCCTTATTGCACTAGAACCCTTTTGAGCCATGACTTGTTGGTTACTTTAGAATTCTCCAATCCTGAGTGAGCTGTGACTTGTATGTTGGCTGTACTGTATAATTCTTATATTTACTAGATATTTTGCTGCACACGCACATACCCATGTCTGAGTCTTTAGAAGTGTTCCCGTATCCTAATTTTAGATAGTTGACAAATTAGACACTTAGACACATATCCGAATCCAACATCCATCCATACCGGAGTTCAAGTAACATAGCTCTTAGCCACTACATCAGCACAAACGCCTAGCTGGGCCTGCTTCAATCTTCATGCCTACTTTAGAAGCAAATATACATTGAGTTTGTTTGGATAAGAGTTTATTTGGATGATTTATTTGAGATATTTACTGTAGCACTTTTTGTGATGTGATGTATGTGAGATAAAAAGGTGATTGGGAAGATAAAAAGGTGATTGGGATTTGTGAAAACAAATTAAACAAACCAAATTTGGCTTGTCCAAACAAACTCATTGCTTCTTCATTGTTTTTTGATTTGTTTGTTTGTCAAGGAGAGTCCAGAAAATCTAAGTTGCAGTCTTATCTGAGTTCCTGTCCCTCTTGTTTCCTCCGTCTGCACTTATTTGTTCATTGAAGCCAGAGCAAGTCTAATGAAAGAGCTTCATTGGTGGCAGATAGGCTCTTTTGGTGCTATAACTAGGATTTTGAGTATTGTGAAGAAGCGGGAGGATCTCTTGAAATTTGCAGCAGCTGGACCATTAGCTGGGTTCTCCTTGGGGGTTCTTCTCCTGCTTTTAGGTTTTATCTTGCCACCAAGTGATGGTCTTGGTGTTGTTGTCGATGCTAGTGTCTTCCACGATTCACTTCTAGCTGGGGGCATTGGTAAGCAATTTTCTGACAAAGATTTTTTGAGGCCTTACAGCATATGTTTCAGGCACAAGAGTGAGCTTTCTTGGATACCCGAGCCACAATAATTTCTTTGCTTTTTTCCTGTTGACTTTTTATGTGTTCATTCTTTTTGCTATCGACATCTATAATTGCACGCAATTAGGTTTAATTACTGCAGAAGCTCCGATACAAGTGTCAAGCTGTGTCCTGTAATAAATTTGCAACTGTGAAGGCCTGAAACCTCTTCTTTCTT